GGTGTTTGGATCTGGAATGTGGCTGAACCCATGAGTTAAAGCCTTGGTGCTCAGCTTGTCCTTACTGGAAGCTTCAAGAGCACACCTAGTGGAAGGGCACTAGGTTGTGGGGCATGCCTGTCCTGGAGGAGGAAGGGCACTAGGTTGGGGGGCATGCCTGTCCTGGAGGAGGACATTGGGGACCTGGCCCCCTGCCTTCCTCGGTTTGCTTCCAGGCTGCCATGAGATGAGAAGCTTCCTCCACTTACTTCCGCCAGGATAGCTGCCTCACCACTGCCCCAAAGCAATGGGGCCAACTGACCATCGCCTGAAACCTCTGAAATTGTGAGCCAAAATAAACCTTTCTTCTTTTTGGGTGGATCAATCACAGCTATTTGCTTTAGTAACAGAGAGCTAACTAACACAGGGTCTCGTGTGCCAAGCACACACTACCACCATGCTATAACAATACTAGCCTAGTATGAGTATGTATCTTAAATGGTAGCCAGCAAGTTTCCATTAACTTGGGGTTGGGGAGGATGCTTATTTCCTAATGCTATGTACAAAAAACTATGAAATTCTGTAAAATGAATAATTCCAACCACGGAAACAAATGCATAGAAGGAAAGATGTCAGAAGAACATTTGTTTATTGCTTGCTATATTTTTAGATCATCTAGAAGGATTGGCTTATTACCAGAAAAAAAAGTCATTCCTTAAAAATTAATTTATCCTTTGATACAGGAATGATATCATAAGTACTATTCTTAAGCCTGGGACAGAAGTTTATATTCATTTGTTCATTTGATTTTGCCCTTACTTAAATTAAGAAGCAGGAAAGAAAAGAGTTAAAGAAAGGAAAAGTGGGAGCAGCTCTCTTACTAATTATCTCTAGGGTAAGGTGGGTGTTGTCACCTTAGAGCCAGGAAGGAAAATCAGAAAAGTTCTGATTGGCAGGTCCAAGATCACCTGAGGGGAAACAGGCTACAGGGGTCTTCTGTGCTCTTTGACCACTAACCCTGCCGAACAGGAATAATGCAGCCAGGATTGGGAAAGAAAAGAGACAGGAAAAGGCAAAAGGAAGGGAGTGGCAAAGCCACAGGGTGATTTACATCATAACATAAGAGGTATGGTTTTGTTTTATTCTTTTGTGGTGCTATAGGGCTCTACCACTGAGATAAACCCCAGCCTCCAAAGATGGATTTTAGCCAGTAGGATCTGGAGGATGATTTTTTCCTTCCTCTTGCAGATTTTCCGTGAGGTAATATTAATGTCTTATTTTTATTGATGCGCAAGAAGAAAATTGTAACCACCTGAATCACGGAACTGTGAGCAGCAAGAGAGAGAAAACAGGCTCTATCTACTGGGCTCCCCCCTAAGGAGAAAAAGGGAATGGGGGTGGAGGAGGGGACAGGTCACACAGCTGCTAATGCACCATCCAGAGATGGCACCAAGGGCTGCAGGAGGCTCCAGATTTGGGAGAGGGGGTTGGAGAGAGAGAGAGACAAAGAGAGAGAGAGAGAGAGAGAGTGTAGTTGCCTGTGAGAGGGAGCAGCAGCAGAAATCAGAGATTTCTGCCAAGGTGAGTCTTTGCAACAGGAGAGTCTGCCTGGCCCTGCAGTTTCTCTGATTCAATCACAACAGTCACACAGTCGACATAGAACACTTTGTCAAGCACATTTTCAAAAGTTGTGCACCACTGCTTTCTCCCGAGAGGAAGCACTCTCCAGCACACAGCAGGAAGGGGCACATGCAGAGGAATTAGTTAGAGAAACGTTGGCTTTCTAGGACCAGGCATGCAGACCATGGTGTGGCCTGGAAATCCTCTCCAGTCAATCTTCCCTGCTCATGGCTGGCTGCCCTCAGTCCAGAGACAGCCATCTCAGGAAGCTCTGTCACCTCAGTGCTTATGTGGGATGCTCCCAAGCAGGATGGTCAAGGCTCTGGCCCAGGTGAGAGAAACAGGGAAAGTCCTACTTATGCAACCCCAACAAAAAGAAAAACTAGCTGGGCGCTGGTGGCTCACACCTGTAACCCTAGCTACTCAGGAGGCAGAGATCAGGATTACGGTTTGAAGCCAGCCTAAGCAAATAGTTCACGAGACCCTATCTCAAAAAACCCTTCACAAAAAAAAAAAGAAATAGGGCTGGTGGAGTGGCTCAAGGTGTAGGCCCTGAGTTCACGCCCCGGTACCACAAAAGAAAAAAGAAAAGACAGAAAAACTAATAGAAATCCATTTTTGGGGGGATGGTGGTACTGGGGTTTGAACGCAAGGCTTTGTAATTGCTAGGCAGGTGCTCTACTGCTTGGGTCATGCCCCCAGCCCTAGAAATTCATTTTTGCAAAGATCTTGTCCATGGTCTTCCCACTCCAGTACAAAGTGCTCTTCTTTTCCCATGTCTCCTATCAATCAACTGGCTGGGAGCATGGCTTAAGTGGCAGAGTGCTTGCCTAGCAAGCACAAGGTCCTGAGTTCAAACCCCAGTATGGGGATAGGAGAGAGCTGTTAGAAAGTCACTTTCGTCCATTTGGAGAGTCACTTTCAAAAAATAACCAAGGTTTTGGAATGAGTGAGTGGTGAGGGGGGCAGCTGGGGACAGTCTGATGAAGGGAAAAAAAGTAGTTCAGTGGTTCACATCTGGTAAGGTGAAGGTGATCTGTTTATTCAAGCTGGGTTGGGAGGTGATGCAAACAGGCACTGCAGGAGCTGGCAGACAGAAAGAGGGTGAAGGTCCAAAAGGACCCAAAAGGCACAGGCTCTTGTGTAGCTTGTCTTGCAAGGGCAGAACCCTCTATGGTGCACTGTGACATCGCCACTCAGCTTCAAGACTCCCAAGCAACTTGAGAGGTAGATGGGAATTTTATACAGAGTTAGAATTTAGAGAGGTGACCCCACTTGTCTAAGGCAAGTCCTTGGATTGGGATGGGCTAATCCCATCTAGGATTCCTTCTGTCTGAGATAGCTGTGCCCTCCAGCAACGATCAGAGGCCCTTAGTCTCCCATAGGCCAAAGGAAAAAGACAAGAGACTGAAGAAGACTGAGTGGTGGAAGGCAGAGGTAAGTAAGGGAAGGAGGGGAGGAGAGGGGAAATGAAGACCAGTGAGCCACATGCAGTGATGACCTCCCACCCAACACTTATGCTGCAGGCAACTGCCCAGAGGACTTCATGAATCATTCAGGGGAAGTCCCCACTCTGCATATAGAGAAATGAAAACATAGTATTAAAGAGAAATGAAAACTGTGGTGTATCTGAAAATAGCACCCAGATATGTTGGCTTCCCAGTTCACTCTCCTGTTCTATTCAGCCCTTCCTTGACTTGCAGAGCCAGCTGAGACCCCCAACTCTCAGTTACCCTGGATAAATTACCAAATTATCTATTAAATGCAATGAATGTGGGGGCTCAGATGAACCAGGGTTGGTAATCTGGACCCATTCTGATGGGCCAATCCTAACTCCTTCCCTGCTGCAGGTGCCCCTGCAGTCACATGCTTTTGTCAGATGATCTGCAGCTTCAGGCTGCTCCCTCTGCAGAAAAGATTAGGGGGAAAAACAGAAAAAAAGAAATGCATAGCTCTCTCCTAGGAACCTCATGCCCTCCCAGCTTGTGACCTTCCCCCAGAGTCCCCACTGGTCACCAACAGAGCCTCTCTCCTTTCTCACCTAAGAGAAATCATACTTGCTGAGGGGACTTGCTGATCTCTCTACCTGGATCAGAAGTGGAATGTGTTAGCAACTGGGCAGGGAAGGAGAGGGATCCAAAAGTTGAACAATTGTCTTCTAAATAACGGGGCCCACCAACTCCAGAGCCTTTTCAGCTCTGCCTGTAACAAACTTTGTGACTCATGGTCTGTTCGCACACTGAGGCAGCCCAACAGCCTTAGAGATGAGTTAAATTGGGACATGCTCTTCTAGGACTCGACCCCTCAGGTGCAGATCCCAGCCTCTACCCTGCATTGGGAGAAGCAGGAGAGCCCTGCTCCAGTTCTTTTTGCTGGCCCCAGAATAGCTGCCAGAGATTTGGATCCTGATGGACTATGTTCACAGGATCATCACAGGCATGTTCATACACGTACACACACACACACACACGCGCGCGCGCGCTCACACACACACACACACACACACACACACACAGCCTGCCCTTGCAGGCTCTGTAATGCAGCCCATTCCTAGACTCGTTTGGGTCCCCAGCGTTCCCCTCATCAGAGCTGCACTGTGGGACCCAAAGCGCTCTCTTTTCCTCACCCACACAGCCTGCAGAACCACAGGAATTCCTGGCCAACGATCAAGCAGAACAGTGCATGGTGAGGGTCTGCGAAACTGTTTCACGTCAGGGGGGCGATAGCTGTGGAAGGGGAAGGAGGTAGGGACTGTGCTGCACCCTCTCAATAGCGTACCCCCTTCATCCCTGCGGAGGGCCAATCTGGAAGTTGGGGAGCCTGGATCCCACCCGCAGGCAGGCGGCAGCAGAGGCCAAGTCCATCCCGGGCGGCGAGATGAGGCTTCCAGCGCTGGCTCGCTCCCCACACCGCCGGCGCCGCCTCTCCCATTCTCCGAGCCCGGCAGAAGGCTCGCAGCGAGCGTCTCCCCTCCACCCTGGACCGGCTTCCCGCATCAAACTCCCAAGCACACGCCGCTTTTGTTAATTCTGCAAATGCTGTCACACGACCACCTCCACCAACACTCCCTGTCGGCTCGGGTCCCCGCTTTCCCCAGTGCCTGGCCAGCAGCTCGTGACCACCAGAGCCCCCGCCCCCGGACGGACCACCGCCCACCGCCCCTAGTGCCAGCCAGCTCCGGGGCCGAAGGACCTCAGGACTCCGGAGTCCCCTGACCCAAGGCATCTTTGTCCTCTCGGCACAGACGCGCGCGCACAGAGCGACCGAAACAGCCCAGCCCGGCACCGAGGCGGTGCTGTCGCCTTTCGCCTGGGCCACGCAAGGGGACAAAGATCCGCGTCCTGGAAGTTTGCGGAGTCGGCCCCTGCGGGGCCCGAGCCGGGGCGCGGAGCTCTCCTTACCGTACATCTCCGCGGGGAGCGCGCCTCCCGAGAGGCCGGCGTCGCCGCGTCGCTTGCAGCCAGCCCCCGGCGGCGCCTGCCTTTCATTCACAGCCTGGGCGGGGGCTGGCGGCGGGCGGCCGAGGCCCTGGCGAGTCGGGAGCGGGCGCGGGGGCCGGCGGCGGGCGGGACGGAGCAGAGCGCCACCACCCCATTCAGCGCCCAGCCTGGCCACGGCCGCCTCCAGCTCCGGTCTCCGGGCGAGGCAGCAGCACGCAGGGGGCGGAGGCTGTGCCCCCGCCACGCCCCCTCCCGCTCGGCCACTGACCGGCCGCCCCGAGCGCCAAGCCACGCCCCATGCCGCCACGCCACGCCCAGAAACCCGATGCCCCAGGCGCGCCTTTTCCCAAGGCTGTAGGACCCCGCGCACACACACGCAGCGAGTCCGGGCGGCGGGTTCTCTAGGCTGCAGTGCTCACCTCGAGGGTGGCGGGGCGGTGGCGAGAGTGTCACCCACCCGAACCCCCTTGCTCCAGTCGGGGTGCTTAGGCCGACCGCTGAGATTCCCCTAACCTGCGGGCCCCGAGGTCAGTGGGGCACTGGAAGCTGCAGGTGTCCCCCTCCCCCAGCTTTGTCCGGGCTGCGTAGGCTAAGCTAGGGGCGGCCTGGAGGAGGAATTGCGGGATAACCTCTGCTTCCCTTTGGCTTCCCATTCTCTGATGAAGTCTCCCGAGCCCTCAGCGGCCAGCCAGGTGCTTGCTACCAAAGAGCGTCCTTCCGTGGCCAGGTACGCAGGAAACACAACCCACTCCCAACTCCGAGTGCTGCAGGAAGTCCGCTTGCTTTTCCTTTCTCAGATTTCTAAGTGTAATTAGCACGCTTTGCCGCCCGCATCCACTCCTGTGGTGCCCCAGGGCTGACTTCAATTCCATCTCCTCACCTCAGTCTGACCCTCTGAATCTGACTCTCTGAGCAAGCGACACAGAGGGGCAGAAGCCAACGCCCCACACTCGGAAGATCTCTCCTAGCCTAGCCCGTGACTTCCCTACATTTCACACATTGTCCATATCATTCCTTAGTATCTCCTCCTGCCCTGCCCTTGTTGAGATTTTTTGTTCCCCCCCATACTGGTAGAAATTAGAGAAAGGAGGATCTTAAAAATCATGTAATGCCCTTAATTTTACTTCGTCTAATCTTGAGAGATTAATTTATGTTCTGTTTCCTAGCTACACTGGACTGTCTGTAGGCCAATCATTTACCTTCTAAACCTCAGCCATCTACTGGATTGTTGGGAAATTTGGATGAAACCTCAGGAACGAGCACAGTGACACTCACATATTTCTTTTCTTTCCTTCTTTCCTGGTCCAAGGCAGGGATAAAATCAGAGAGAGAATCTAGTTTGCCTGGCTAACAACAAAACAGTGTTCTCATTTGCTGTGCCCCACCCCCATATTTCTATTTCTCTCTGGCCTCATCTCTCAGTACCCACACCCTACACAAACTCCCTTTCTATTTCCAAGTGTTGTTCCATCCCCTTCACCTCTCTCAGCAGCATGCAAGCCCTGGAGGCCCCCTGAGACCCCTGAGTTCACATTACTCTAGGTAATTCATGAAAAAACCCTGTCTCTGTTCTCCAGGATCAAGCCAGATAGCTTTGAGGTTTGAGAAGGCAGGAGGCTAGAATCTGGGGTCTTGCTAGATCTAGGCAGCCAGAACTAGTCACACCCTACTATGCTGTTAAACACAAAATAAATTCCAGCTGCACTAGAATCCACATCACAGAGGAGGTGCAGGGTCTGTCCTCAAGGAGCAAAGTGTATCAGAGAGAGCCAGATGCATACTGATGAAACCCATGTGACAAGGAAGAACACGGTCAATGCTGTGTGACAGGTGTAGACCTCTGTTTAGATACTCAGAGGGCTCATGTGTTAATTCATTGTTTTTATCAAATATTTATTGTCTAAGTGTGACACCGTGGGACACACTTAGAAGACAGGAGGTATGCAAAAATCATAAAATCTTATGACTACAGAGGCATATATGAGGAGCAAAGGAAAGTTACATGAAGAGAAACCACCCAAGAAGGATTCTAAAAAGGCAGTATTTCTAGATGTGGCAATAACATAAATAATTCCAGTTAGAGGGGCTGGTATTTGCAGAGGTCAGAGATTGTAGCAGGTAAAGCATGTGGGAAGTGATGTATGCAATCCTGGCAGGCAGGCACAGAGCTGAGGAGGAGGGCAGAAGTAGGCAGCAAGGCTGGAAAGGGAGTCTAGAGTTTGTTGGGAGGACCTTAGGTGTCCAGCCCAATGGCCTACACTTTAATTAGGGGTGCCAGATTTACAAAATAAAAATACAAGATGCCCAACGAAATCTGAATTTCAAATAAATAAGGGAATAATTTGTAATGTATGCTCCACTCAAACTAACTTTTTTATTGTTGTTGTTTTCTGAAACTCAAATTTAACCTGTTTTATTTGGCAACTATAGTTAATGTCATGCTTTGGAGGAGACTCCTGGATCCCCATGACTGAACCTAGCTTCAGTCGCTACCCCACCCCATACTCCAAGTTGGTATACCCAATAAACTCCATTAGTATGAAGTTCCTGAGGGAACAGAAACAGGGTCACTGAGGCCAACCTTTTACCCTTAGGCATAGGCCCTTTGGCCAGAGTTCTGAGGTCCTGTTTATGCTCAAGAGAGCCATCCAAGAAAAAGCTAGGCCTCTAGTCTCTGCTCACAGCTCTCCTCTGGGCTTTGTGTGTTCATTGCGGAAGGACTCCAGCCCATATTCAACTTCTCTGAGGAGTAGTTGAGATGTTTTGATAATATGTGCACAGGAAAAGGGTTCGTAAGTCTATGGTAGTGGTGTCATGTACAAGGAAACAGATTTGAGGGACCCTCATTCGCAGTGTAAAACCAAAGAGCAGAACTTGGTTCCAGTTCCAGAGACGCTAAGCAGAATCAACTATTTAGGAGGATCTTTGGAAAGGAAGGAAAATCAGAATTGGGATCTCTGTCTTAAATAGTTTTTTACTTTCTCTGAAGAAATTCAAAATAAGGTGATGGGCATAATACGAAGGAAAATGGAAAAGAAATTATATTTATTGAAGCCTCGAAATGCAATGGGTCTGTTCCAGGCACTTTCCACAGGACTCAGCACAGGTTGACCATGACTTAGGATGGTCTACTTTTCGGTGGTGTGAAAGCAATAAACGAAACTGTACTTGGAAGTTTGAATTTTGATCTTTTCTCAGTCTAGAAAAATGTAGCACTATACTCTGTCTTGATGCTGGCATTGGCAACAAGCTCTAGCTTCCAGTCACCAACGTGATCACAAGGGGGAAGGAAACAAGCAGTGCTGTTAAGTTATGATGTCAACTGGGTGGATTAAGTGCATTTTTCACTTATGTCAAGTTTATGTCACTTGAGGAGCACCTGGGGATTGAGGCCAAGAGAGCTTACACAGTGCTCCAGTAAAGGGCCAAGCAGGGATTCAAGCCCAGAATACTGCCCAAGATGACTCCACCCCAGTGCGAAGCCCTGCAGCACACAGCGACTGCACACACATCTTCATTGCACAGGGAGTGGTCTTTCTGGCAGTCTAAAGCCCATGTCCCTTTCCCTCCTTTGACTGTGCTTGCTCCTTTGCCTCATCTGCATATCACCTTCCTTCCTGTTACCTGGGTTTGGAGGGAAAGGGTTGGGAAGCTCAGCCCCTATAGACCAAACCAGGCCCTCTGATTTGCACCCCTTCCGAGATCCATCAGTGGTGGCCCCTATGACATCAGCTGGAGTCCAGGGTCCTCCTGGACTAATTTGGTCAGTCTGGAGAAACTAAGCTTTAGAAAAGGCCAACTGCACCTGGTCCATGTCACGCTGTGGTGACAGCTCCAGTTCTCCCCTCTGCTATGAGCAAGCACCGCAGGAAGGTCCAGAGGCTGAATTTCCCTACAGTCTAGAGAAGGAAGGCTTTGAAGTGAGGGGGCAAGCTACAACCCAGGAACCCTCCCTCACATCTAGGTGTTTGTATCCACGTCACATCATCAGACTTCTGTCTTTTAGCCTAGGAGTCTGCCTTCCTGACAGCGGGGTGGGGCCGTGCCAGTGGGTATCCATGCAAAAGCTTCTAATCTTTTCATCAGCCAGAGGAAAGACAACTGCCCCAGGGAATAATGCAGCTTCTGAAAAAAAAAAAAAAAATCACGGGACCCAGGAAAACCCAGAGGGGAGAGTGAGCTTGGAAGAATTGTCACGCAGCTGTTAGCTGTGAAACCAGAAATAGAATTCAGGAGTCCTGACTCTAGGCTGGGTGCCTTGAACCATGGCACTTCTCCTTTAAAGCAGGTTAACTACCTTGACCTACTTCTCACAGGCCACAGGGAAAGAACAGCCTCTAAAACAACGCCCAAGTGCAGGGGTGGGAGGGGCTCCAAGGGCTGAAAAATGCATCTCCACCACATGCAAACAGCTCAGCAGCCCTGGTGCACAGGGCATACTCTGGTCACCAAGGCTGCTGTGAGCTGCCCAGTGACGCAGGCAGTAGAACTGCCTGCTGCCAGGGTAGCAGACCTGAGCATCTGGGGTGGAGAAAGCTGCTCTACACCAGATTTTACAACCAGATTTGACCATGGTGGGAGCAGTTTGAGATATTAACTGTCGGTATGTTAAGGTTTGAGAGTAGTAAGCAAGCACCATCAGCTGCCATCCTCTTCTCTGCCTTAGGCTCCCCTGTGGCTCCCCTCCAGGGCAGGGCCAGGTCTCCTTCTCCAGCTGCTACTCTCTCTGGTCCCTGAAGGCTTCTTTCCCTCATGAAGCTCAAATCCATGGTTAAGTGCAGGCATTGCTGTGCCCATTGTCCAATCTGTGGTGTAGATCAAGGAATGCCATCTTTTCACTTTCTCCTTGCTTCCAGGGTCAGACGGCATCTGTTCCCCACCCATGATGCCCCATATCCAACCCGTGTAATACTTGCTCCTGCCGGGAGACCCACACTCGAGGACTCCGAACCCATGTGCCATTTCTAGCTTGATTTCCTGTTGATAGGCATGGCTTGAAAGAGAATCAAAGATTTAGGAAGTGAGTTCAGCTCAGACAGATGATCTCCAAAAGGCAGATCTGGATTTCCTGGCCTTGGCTAAGGATACCTGCATCTCACCACAGAGAGAGGGATGGGATGGGATGGGCCAAAGGCTGCCCACACTGA